TCTCCTGGTTTAGAACAGAGAAATCCTCCTTGTGGCCCCCTCATGTCCCCTCCCTCTGCCTTCTTGGTAGTTAGGTGGTTGGTTTGCTTGTAGGTGAAGGAGGCTGGGGGAGACAGCTCTGGTAAATATCGTAGCAGCTGGTCAAAAAAAAATAAGTGAAATCATGTAGGCTATGGTAGATAGTAAGGGGAGAAAAGCTTTTTCTCCACTCAAAGCGTCCATCCCTGTGGATGGCCAGCTATTTGCCTAAGACTCCAGGTGTCTCTCCATCTGTTACTCCTTCTTAACCAGGAGTAGGAGCAGTTATCTTGTTGGGGAGTTTAAAAGGGGAAACTGGGCACATGTAACTCTGCTCCTTCCTCTCTTTCCTTCCTTGGGGAAGGAGATATCTGCAAGAGGCACACTTTCCACAACATTTCTCAAGCACTGGGGATGAAGAGTGAAAGGGTCTCATGTGAAAAAAAGCTTCCATCTGTCCAGAACAGCTGGATGGATGGACATCAAGCTCTCAAGCTGTAATACGATTTTCAGAATTAGGAAACTTACTTTTCCTTAAATATAAGCCCAAGTCTTCACAATATATTTATCAGTAACAATAAAAGCAATATTTTAATCAATATATTTATTAATAAGATATCAATAAGTAAATATTACTATCTTATGTAATATAATGGCTCATGCAGCAGAAACTAGTTAGATGGTTACACAGTCCATTTTATTTTTCTTTTTGAGTAAACAGCTTGAATACATTTCCCAACATCCCTTACAATGAGTAAGGGATGAAAACGAAAATGAGTACTTGCCTGTGGATTGTAAGTAAAAATAATGTACACTATTCCCAAGCCCGGTCCATATAAATTGTCCTCACATGATGCCCCATTCTCTCTTTTTTCTAATCTCTGGTCAGATGCAGAGTGCCCAGCTGCGTGACGTCTGTGAGCCCAGGGGATAGCAGACACTGGATAGAAGGAGAAGGCTGCCCTCCAAACATGTGTGGGGAATGTACGTGAGTCAAAAATAATTGTCTATTGGGTACTATCTACTGAAATTTGGGGTATTGCTTGTCAGAGCAGTTAAGGTAGAAAAGAGTGATGTCATTACTGGGCATCCATTGAACTGTCAACATCTGGCGTTTAGCCAGGTGGATCTGGATTTCCTTGGACTTCCAAATTACTTGGAAGGCATCAATACTCTAAGTACAAAGGAAGTCCCTGACGTGTTTTAATCAAGGGAGTAATATGATCCAATATATCTTTAGAAATATCAGCCTGGTCTCTGGGTGGAAAAATGAATACATTAACAGTGATGGGCAGGAGACCTGGAAGGAGAGGGCAAAGTAAGAGATTAACATGGCTCTGACTGAGGAAGAAGCAGAGACGGGAAGGGATGGTATGAGCTACAGTTGGAGTCAGAGTTGACACGATACATTAATGTTTTTGGTCACTTCTATGGAATAATTTATTTAAGCCACAAAAATAGCAATAAGAAAGAGTGTTTCAAAATTAGCTCACAACTATATTAATACTCCACCATATATACTATTTCTTATAAATATCTTCAAGGACCCTCTCTCTATGTTTGTAGAATAGCTCCTATATGACATAACCTTTTTCCAAGTGAAGGTGTCAGTGTAGCATCTTGGCCTCACATGACTCCTAATTCTAACCTTCTATTTCCCCCCAATCAGAAAGGTGTTTTGAGGTGTTTGAATTAAGGCTTCAATGTAAGCTATTAGTACCATTAAGATGCCCCCACGAAGCCTGTGTCTCTATTGTAAACTACTAGAAACATTGTTATTATCACAAAAATATAGAAGACTTCTTAATAAAATCCTTAAAAAGATACCAGGTAAAAGTACAAAATTTTCAAAAAAAGATTAAAAGGTTATGGTTTCATTTTTCAGCTTGAGATCAATTTTAAAATGTTGGCAGTACTCTCTACTTATGATAAAGGATATCTTCCATTATGGAAAGAATCAGAGTCATTTATTGTTAAAGCAAGGTACCATAACTATTTGTAATCAATATTACTTACCTGAATATTTGATTCTCTAGACCATAAGATTTCATAAAAAGGATCATTTCAGCACATTTGGAATTCATAATCTAATTCCAAATCAATATTCACAGACTTGCAAAGGAAAAGCTGAATAAGTATTAAATTCAGCAAGGGAACAGCACTTGGAATATAATCATCTCTACTACTCATTGTCTTGGTTGCATTTTAAATACTTATTAGATTTTACAATTAAATTCTTATATTTACTCTTCTCTAAATGTCAGTGATTTAAGACTGATTTCCCTCTGAAGCACACCAGAGTTTCAAATATATTTTTAAAAATCTTGGTCTATTAAGCACATCTGTTTCCAGCTCTAAAAATTGCTAATCTTTCCATCAGCAGTTCTTAGCCAGGCGTGGATTTGCTTACAACAGTTTCAGGCATCTAACAAAGACTTACACTTGCATTCACAACGTTTTACAGATGAAGAGCGACAGTGAAAGCGAAGGTCAGAATTTTTGAGAAGGGGAGTAAGAAAGGAGAATTCATGTGAAGTTGCAAAGGAGGCATCACACACAACTTTTCTGGTTGTCTGTCAACTGGATGGGAACTTTCAATATTATATACTTATCATTACTCTACAATGCCATTTCTAAATATACTATAAAATTCTTGTTCTTTTATAATCTATTATAAAACAATTGAGCAAAGTATATATAAGTGACTAAGTATTTTCATTTGTTGTTTTTAAATATTTTTAAAAATCCCATATTTTATAAAAATGATTTAAATGTATGTGCATACCACATCTCTTCAAAAAGGCTCCAAGAATATCACAAATTCCTTTTTAGGAGGTGGGAAGAGATATTTTAAAAAATAATCCCACATATATTCGAACAATGTTTTTTGCTTTATCTCTGTTTGTAATAACTTTCCATCACCTACAATAAAAACTCTTTTTTTCATTCGTTATCATTTTCATTCACTGTCCGTATCTGTAGTTCATCTAACCGAAGTATGCACTCAAAAGTTGTAGTTGAACAAATTTTCCACAGCAATTCTGAGGTTTCTTCTGTTCTGAAAACCATATCATCATTCCATCTAGTAAAAGTGTGATATATGTATTAATATATATTTATGTATGAGCATCAAAATATAGACCCAAGTTACAGTGTAAAGTGCTACATTGGTTTTATTGTTCCTCATCTACAAAGCTTTGTTGAGCAATTTAAAGTAAACATTTTCTCATTTGATACCAAAAACATCAGCTTTGAATATAAAACACTGAACATTTTAAAATAAACATGTCGCTTTGTAAATCAGCTCAAAACCATGACTTTTTTCAAAAACTGTTGCTACATAAATGTTAAATTACTTAAACTAAAAGCTTTAGGAGACTAACGTCATCAAGTCTGCAGTGCCCACTAGTGGCAGAAGACAGTAAATGCATGTTTCTTTAAAAAGTAAAGACCAATTCTATCTTACATATTAGCTTTCTCAATCAAATTTAGAGCCCGTTATATTATACAGCAAATACCTATACACTCTAAGCATACCATGATTTTTGTGTTGTGAACTACTTTTCCTGTATAACTTTAATTTACTGTTAATGTTCACACCCAGAGACATCATGTTCAGTTAGGTACCTGTGAATATAAACACTACCCATATAAATGCATGATGCGTATGTGTGTGTGTGTACAAACACACATACACACTATATATATGTACAGACACACCCCCAAATTTTAAGCTATAAATGAACCCACTCTGACAATCTAACATGAATCCATAATGGAGAAATAAACTTAATCTAGCCTGTTAGCTTTAATTTACCCTGCATTGAGAAATGCTCTCAAACTAATCTTCTGCGGTTCTCGCTGAAATGACTTTTTGTTAATAAATGGTTTTTAAGCAGGAGATATTTGTTTAAGAATATTAGGAAAAGCTCTCCCTCCTTTCAAATCTCGGTGGTCCACAGGGTTAACATAGCTGACTATTTCTGAACCTGTGCAGGATAGATTACTATGCTCTAGGGACATCAGGATGCCTGCATATGACCCAGAAGTTTAGGCATATGCTGGCAACTAAGGTTCTTGAACATTCCATCATGTGATTTCAGCAAACTTAAGTTAATGACTCTAAACTTTATCACTTACTGGAAAGAAACCTGAAGCAACATGCATATAGAATTTCATAAAGAGGAATATTGCTTATTATCTTTTTAACAACTGATGGAAGAGAGCTTTAGATTAAGGCACAATCACATGATTGACTTAGATACTCAGCTTCTTTAGACAGCAGTCAGCATACATATGGCTTGTAGGTGTGTATACGTGTGTCTTTATTGCACACACACTAAGTATTAATTCACTTGACAGCATTTACCTTGTCATTATTTTTGCTCAGTATTTTTCTTTTCTTTTCTTTGCTCATTATTCTATCCCACATACTTACCCAACACAATGCGTTAGTACACAGAATACGTACAATTAATATTATTTAAATAATGAATATTAATAAATCATTGAAGTGGAAAGCATTCATGACAGAATTTTATTGATGAAAAGGCAGAGGAAAAGTGTAAAGGCAAGTGGTTGATCCTGAATAAGTGTAATGCCAATATGGAAAGAACCCAAATACACTTGAGATTAATTGATATTTTCAGACTGCTTCATAAAAGAATAAGATAAAATTATTTATTATAGATGTGATGATATATGACATCTTCAGCAGTCCCCTCACATGTGACTGGAATGCATAGTTAATTATGTCCTGTGGTTGATCATTAGAAATATGCCTTATTTAGAACAAGATTTCTTATGGCCTGAGTTTAACTGAGTCCACTATTGACCTGTGAATTCAAATATTCCTCTTACAGAGGAAATTCAATTTTTTAACCTCCTTTCCTCTTTGTTGAGCCTTCTGCCCACTAGGTTACACACCCAAATAGAGAAAACCATCAGTTTCATTTCTTCCTTTACATCATATGTCTCCATACCTCTTTCATATTTTTTGTCTTCGATTCTTTAAGTTCTTCATATTTCCACTTCCACACAGACAAAGCTGACTCCAGCCGTCCTATCTCTTTTTCCAAAGATAAGCGCATTCTAAATAAAGAATTAAAGGAAAACAAAATAGACTTACAATTTAAAAATAATTTTAGAAATGCATTCAATTTTAGATTTTCTATTTTCCTAATTTTTGACATTTGTATATGATCATTGTAATAATAGAAAACTTTTTTCAGCTTATTAAAAATTACAAATATTGGCTAAAACTTGGTTGAATTTATTATTCTGTTAATTAGCTTTAGAATAGATTAAACATATTTAATTTAGCCTTGTCAGTATCAAAATAATTGACTTTCTGCCTGCTTTTTCCTGTATTATCCATGCATTTCTCACGATGCCTCTTATTCATATTATTTCCTTACATGAGAGGATAAATATGTTTCTAATTTTAACATGGTTTTTATCCAACTTCATATTGTGACTGTATATGAATGAAGACTCCTTTGATATGACAGAGAATACCAAGGAGTCCACCTAACAATGCAATAAATCTCTCATTTATTGGGGATATAAAAATAATTTTTAAATATTTGCAATTTTGTTTTAATGAAGCAATTTAACTGGGATCTTTCTTTAAATTATTTAAAATAATTGAAATTAATTTCTCCATTTGTAGAATAAGTGATATAACTAAGATTAAAGTCCTTTAATACCACAATAATTGATTTTTCTATGCCCATATGTCTATTAGAGTGAATCATTGAAAATAATTATTTCTGGTTGTAATTAGCGTATATCAACCTTTGCAAATGGCCAGTCTTAATCTGTGTGGTAGATTAGATTACTGTTCAAAAATACTCATTCTCTTTTCTCTCCTTCCATGGACAGAGTTGCTGTCCGCATCCCTTCATTCCAGGCTTTGACAACACGATATTAGCAGATCTGACAGATGCAGAAGTTTGAAAAGAAATTGTGTGATTGGTCACCTTCTCTATGCCTCACCCATCACTGTGAAGAGTTTCTCCCCAAAACCGCTGTCCCCAAATAAACACGTGAAGCAGATCTGAGCCCAACCTTACCAACGTTAACAAGCCCAGCTGGTCCAGTGGAGGTCAACTGACCCCAGCCTTCTCGTGTCCACATGGGCAAAATAAATCATTGTTGTTTTAAGCCACCGAATTTTGTGGTTTTTTTTTTTTTATGCAGCAAAGGATAACTGATATAGAGAACGATGCTTAAAAGTGGGATGCTGCAATAACAAAAACAAAAAATATATAGACTTAACTTACAGGCTACATGGTGGGCAGAGGCTGGAAAAATGGTGATAAAAGATAAGAAGCTGGAAAAATTGTGGTATGTGTTATGCAGCGGTGAAACACAGGGTGGAAGTGTCAATTGCTGTGTCTTGGAAAATAGAAAATGTGCTGACATTACCAATGGAAGGCTGGTGGGCACAATGCGGCCAAAGGCTTGAAATGTATTTGTGCAATTGGGCTTGCTCTCTTGTATTTTGGCCATTACCATGAGAAATACACAGCAGTGCTGGCCCACTGCTCCCAGTGGGAGGATGAGAGACACGGAATATAATCAAGTCTCTCTTGCAGAGCCCGGTCCAGATCAACCAGTCTCCAGTTGGCTCACAGACTTTAGTTAATAAATTCTGATTGTTACATGCCACCCAGAGTCTGTGGTTGTTAGTTACAGCCTTATTGCATTTATAATTAACTAATACACACACGGATGTATTTCAGTGATGTCACTAGAAAGATCTTAGAAGCCTATTCACAGATATACGCAGAACCGAAGATGCACACAGAACAAAAATTGAATGCCATTTACATAATTATAAGAAATATGACTCTTCCAGGTAGTGCTATTATGAAAATAATTCAAAATAGAATTAGGCCATAAATATATTAGTTTAATCCAATCAATGGATAAGCAGCCCATTAAAGAGTTACATAATTATATTTGCATGAATCAAGCCATAAAATGGAAAGAGGATATTAAAAAATTAGTTAGAAATTAACTTAACCTCAAAAGACTCAGGTCGTAAAAAATACCAGCACCCTTTATAGGACAGTAATTTGAATCCCTTATTAACACAGCAAATATATTAAATTTACAAACAAAAAGGCTCAAAATAGAAGTCTAAGTCCTACAAACACTGCCTGTAGATGTCTACACCTCCAGATTAACAATCTCAGCCAAGAATTCTGATAGATAAGCAAACTTAGTCAGCTGGTCATCAAGTTGCTTACCGTGATGTTATTTTTGCCCTTAGTGGCTGTGTTTGGTGTTTCAAGAGGAATAGGATTAAGTATAGAAATAATGAAAAAATTGCCAAATACTAATATTTTGTGTTAAATTTATAAAGAATACGGAAAAACCATTGTACATTAAAATACGTTACATATTTGGCATCTGGGTACTTTTAAAGTTTTGGATAAGGCATATTTGAATATTTACAAGAAATTGAGTATTGACAGTCTTGTGAATTTAAGTTAAAAAATACAATAAAATTATACTGTTTGTAACTTCATTAGAATGTTTGATAATCACTATATCTACAATTTTAATTTATTAGAGTTACATGAGCTGAACGTGGGAAAGGTTTTTGTCAGTAACTGAAAAATTTAAAAAGGAAAATGAATATATTAAATTAATAAAAAAATTTTTAATGATATTAATTAACTACATTTGTGTAATGAGGTATACACTGATAAATTTTCTCAAAATTAATTTTGAGAATTATTTTACTTACAAATAGAATAATATAAAAATTGTACTTAAAATTTGAGAAAAGTTTACATTATTAAATTTACAAATTTAAAATCATACATGTTGAGAAATCAATGTCAGTTTTTGACATTAAACTTTAATAAATCAAATGATAATATTGGCAAAAAAACCTCGCATTAACATAAAAATGATTAATTATCAATGTAGAATAAATGCTGATCCTCAAAAATGTCATCAAAATTATTGAGGTAGCTATGTCTTTAGGTATTTTATAAGAAGTTCAAGAGGAACATTTCAAACTATATATTAATTGAACTTTTAACCTTAGTTATATATAAATATAGGTATATTCTAAAAATATAATTATATCTAGACTTAGAATAAGTATTCAAAGCCAATTCATGAAGTAAAAGTAATATAATTTTGCCAAGGTATATTAAAATGAATAGATAACTATTTGTATTCCTTATTTAAGGCAAATTAGTAACATTTAAAATATAGTATTATTTGTCTCTTTAAGTATGCATCTTAAATAAAATAACTGATATTTATTAGTCTACTAAAAGAAAATGTGTTTTTATTATGTAAAAAGGTACAATTTAGTCAGAGAAGTGAGAGGACAATTTATAAAAATTTATTTCATAGCAATATGGTGTTTGAATATTATTTAGTATGGCCTCACCAAAATAATTTCATGTCCCTATTTATGCAAACAAGCATTAAAGATACAAGGACATTGCACATTTAAATTCATGCAGCAGAGGGCACTCTTTATATCTTTAATTTTCTGGCCTAATCAATTTATTCTATATTTTAGAGAGATTTTCAAAATTAATTAATTATAAAGTTAAACTTATAATTTGAACTTTAAACTACCATCACACTATTTGAACTACAAGAAAAGAAAGGAAATAAATCTAATTTTACTCTAAAGAATATTGCATATCTTTTGCACAAAATCTTTAAAAAAAAAAATTAATAAGATAAATCTCAGGAAAATATAATATTTTGAATATGATGATATAAACTTTAAAAAATCAGATTGTTAAAATATACAAAATTTGCATAATCTAAAAGATCAAGTGTGAACCAAAATGATTTGTATGGAAAGATATAATTATATTTCTTTTTTTTTTTTTTTTTATTGTTTTACATATTGTTTAATTAAAATGTGTTGTTATAATAAAAAACCCCAAATGGCAAAAATTTTTTAGAGAATGAGCTTTATTTTTTGATATTTTTTCCTTAAATGTGACATTATTACTGTAAATAAAGAAGTCTTCAGACATAAGTAAAATCTTTATAAGCATTAAAATATTAAATACAAAGAGGAAATAGGTGAATTTTGCTGCTTCAAAAATTTTTATTTTAAATTGCTACTTTAATTTTCTTTGGTGAGTGACCCTCTAGAATCCTCAGATTAATTTCAGATACATTTGAGGCTTGATAGATCATAATATATTTGAAGTTTATTCTGAGGAAGTGAAGGTCTTGACCTTTCAGTTTTTTTTTTTTTATAATTATATTTCTATGCAATCTTTTGATACTATGTTAACTATCGTAATCCTATAATAATTGGGCATAAAATTTTGACATCTAGACAGGAAGATTAATCAAAATAGTTTTCAGGAATGAAATTCCTGAAACATTAATATCTGGGAATAAATATTAATCATCTTTGAACTGCGTGAAATTTCATGGTAAAATATCTAATAAGTATTTTCTTAAAGGTCTATTAGTGTCAAATGTTTTTGCCAGTCAAAAATAATTGTAATAATATCTAGATGTCCACTTTTCTGTTAGTTAAAAATTTAGAGTTAGTATTAAACTATGAATAATAAAAATTTTTACAAATATACTTTTAATGAGCAACATATTTGTCATTTTGCGATTCTACTCTCAACTATTCATAACTACATCTTTCAGCTGTAACACCTTTCAGCATCTTTCATTTTCATCATCTTTCAGCATTTTTAGCACCTTTTCAGCAAATAGCCAAAGCCGTATATGGTGAATTTAACTAGAAAAGAGGGGAACTTAAAGAACTCTGTTAAGCTCAGAGGCATCCAGGAGGACCAGAGACCAGCGCTGGGAGGCGATGCCACCAGGAACAAGGCCCACTGTCCCGCCACAGACCTGGTCCTGTGAGAGCCCCACTGCTTGTTGCCTATCCGCTCTCCTGGTATCAATGATAGGCCTGACAAGCAAATATATTCAAATTAGCTAATTCAAGTAGAAAAGGATATTAATAGCTCAAAGAATCTCTGGGAGAAACAGAGAGGCAAGTGAGGAACCTGCACAGCCAGAAATACCAAAGATAAAGCCATAGAAATCTTCCCACCAGCACCTCGCTGGGGCCGCCATATGGGTACAGACATCACGGCACGACCTCATACCACCAACTCCAGACACCAGATGATGTTACCAGAGACCAGAGGCCACTCCTGCCTCTGGACACAAGATATAGCTACTGCCACTGCCTTCTTTCTCACCAGGATGGATTCCGGGTGCTCTCTTCTTGAAGCATTAGCTTCTGCTAAAAAGTCTAGGTGGCTACCTCTGAATAGCTGTTCCCAGATTAGTGTCTGCACCATAACTGCGAGGGAGACTGAGCTAGAGACCTACCTGCATTTTGTAGTCTATGCAGAGTCTATTCCATCTCATTAGGTAGAGTATTGTCCAAACACAAAATAGATACTGGAGAGTCAAAAATAGCAAAAATTAACTTAAAATAACTTAAAGGCTTAAATGTAAGACTAGAAACCATAAAATTTCTAAAGAAAACATAGTGGAAATCCTCCTGGACATTGGTCTCTGGGATGATTTTTTTAGATTCAATACCAAAAGCACAGGCAACAAAACAAAAATAAACAAGTGGGACTACATCAGACTAAAAAGCTTCTGCACAGCAAAGGAAACCATCAACAAAATGTAAAGGCAATTTGGGTAATGGAAGAAAATATTTGCAAACATATATCCAATAAGGGGTCAATATGCAAAATATATAAGGAACTCATACAACTCAATAGCAAAAAAAACAAGTAACCCAATTAAAGAATGGGCAAAGGACCTAAATAGACATTTTTCCAAAGAAGACATACAAATGGCCAAAAAGTACATGAAAATGTGCTTAACATCACTAGTCATCAGGAAAAAGCAAATCAAAACCACAATGAGATGTCGCTTCACATGTGTTAGCATAGCTATCATCAAAAAGACAGGAGATAAGTGTTGGCGAAGATGTAGAGGAAAGGGAACCCTTCTACACTATTGGTGGGAATGTAAATTGGTGCAGCCAGTACGGAAAATGGCATAGAGCTTCCTCAAAAATTTAAAAATAGAACTACCACACAATCCAGCAATTCCACTTCTGGGTATACATCCAAAGGAACTGAAATCAGTATCTCAAAGAGATATCTGCACTCCCATGTTCACTGCAGAATTGTTCACAATACCCAAGATATGTAGACAACCTAAATGTCCATCAACAGATGATTAGATAAAGAAAACATGGTATATACATACAATAGAAAAAATGTTCAGCCATAAAAAGAAGGAAATCCTGCCATTTGTGACAACATGGATGACTGAAGGACATTATGCTAAGCAAACAATAAGCTAGAAAAAGAAAGACAAATACTGTATGATCTTAGTTACACGTGGAATCTTAAAAAGTTGAACTTAACAGAACTAGAGAGTAGAATGGTGGTCGCCAGGGGCGAGGGGGTGGGGAAAGTGAGGTGATGTTGGTCAAAGGGTACAAACTTTCAGTGATAAGATGAATAAATTCTGGGGATCTAACGTACAGCTAGGTGACTATTGTTAACAATCCTGTGTTCCACACTTGAAATTTGCTAAGAGGGTAGATTATAAGTTTTCTCACCACATACACAAAAATAATAACTATGTGAGGTGATGGATGTGTTAATTAGCTTAATTGTGATAATCATTTCACAACATATATATATCTATATCTAAATATCACATTGTATACCTTAAATATGTACAAATTTTATTTGTCAATTATACCTCAATAAAGCTTGAAAAATAAAGAAATAATAAATAAATAAATACTACAAATTACTTTTAAGAAATGGCAAAGGTTTACTGCGTATCCCATTAGCGACATTGAATAAGTAACTAAAGTAGACCTGAATTTCTAATTATTAACAATATTATACTAAATAACATTAAGCAGACTTGCAGATTTGCATGCCAATTTGTTCATTGCGTTAACTGAGAAACACACATATATGTACAAATACACACACATGGATTTCTACTAATGCGAATCTTTGAAGCATTTTTAATTTTCTTACCTTCTTACCAAGATTTTAAATCTCATTTTATTAAGAAAAAGTTCAACATTTAATGAAGCAAAGCAAAATAATTAAAGCATACTACTTGTCATTAAATGACACAAAGCAAATATTTTCTAAGGGATACAGGTGCCATCTGTAGTTTAACTTGAGAACTAATTCTAACTGTTAAAACAGTTCATCACAATATTTTACCTCATCCTCTTCCTTACTTAAGACTTGATATTGCCAAAGTTCTTCCTGAATGTTAGGTACACCTAGCTTGATAAGAGGATCGGGTTTCCCGCCCTCACCTCAAATTTTTACCTGGGAAGTTTTTATCTAAGAGATCAGAAATACATAAATTCTCAATACATGAGGAGCTTCCAGAAATGATAATTACAAATAAAACTGAACAGTACTCCAAGTACAAACAATATAAGAAAGCGTAGTGTATTTGATGAGGAGGATCTAGTCAGTGACAATGGTGGAAATGATTCCCTGAGTTCTCTTGGCTGATTCCTGTGCTCTAGTCAAGAGAATTTTCCCACTAGCTGGGAACATGGAAAAAATTATCTTCACATCTTCTCAACTCAGCCACCCACTTGCTGAGATTCCAGGAGGAAGAATTTAAAAGATTTGACAGATTTATAATAACAGTATATCCTATATCCTTGGGAAACATTTTCTTATGATAGGAAAAAGGCTTTGCAATGGTCTTATGTGGATTGCATGCTAATGTTGATTCATGGACACATAACACCCATGGGACTGTTTCTTAAAGAGGAGAGTGAGAAAAGAAAGTGGAATCAAAGGCCCTCTTTCCCCTGATTCTCTGGCCTGTCTATGGCTTATACATTGAAGCTGCTGAGAAATGAAGAATTTACTTACTATGGGGATTATTAATTTATTCCTAAGTCAAATATATACATATGTGTATATGTGTATGAGTAAGAGTGTAAAGATACACATGCGTATCCTTAAAACCGGCACCTTAGGGAGCTTACATCTAGGAAAGGGCAGTTTCATATTGCTCCTACCACGTTAACGTCAGTGAAGTAACACTGTGCGTGGGTTTGAGAGAAGTCTAAAACCACTAAAAAGTTACATCCTTCAAGAAATAAAACACACAGGTTAGAACTTCACTGAGACCTATAGCTTCAGATAAAATTAATTGTTAATATGGATACAGGCCTAAAAATTAATTCAATTTTATTCTCTTTTCTACCAATGTTGATTGCCTCTATTAGGAATTTATACTCGATGGCAGAATAATAAATATTTATTCTATACACAGATGCTTGTATTATCACAATCCATTCATATGGTGAGATACAGACAAAGAATCTGAAAAAGAATTAGTGATATGAACAAATTCCAGAGGGATTAATGAGAAACTTCTGGCTGACAGAAAAGGAATGGCAGACAAAAAGCTTAGTATTTGAGAAAGGTTTGTGTGCATACTTATCACTATTTCAATCCATTTTAACCAGGGAAATTGAAACCATAATATAATATATAATAATAAAAATATAATATATAACTATATTCATACTTATTTACATATATGTACTACTCCTAGTTTTTTTATTCTGCCCATTAAGAGTTTTATAACTAAAGAGAGGGAAGAATAATTATTTTCAGATTTGGAGATCACATTTTAAAGTGCATTAAATATTCCACTCAATGCTAATAATTTTCTAAGGTGATTGTGAAGGAAGGAGAAAAACATATTGAGTAATTCATATTACTGGTCACTTTTCCAGACATTGTTTGTGCTTGATCCTCCTAAGAACTCAGTGAAGATGGCAGAAGTGACGCTATGTGACTTTTGAGGAAGGTCATTAAAATTCCATGTATTTCTCTCTGCGCTCTTAAGATGATCTCTTTCAACCGAGTCACTATGCTGTGAGGAAGCCAAGTGGCTACATGGATAGGCCACAGGCAGATGTTTTGACTGAGACCCCAGATGAGAACCAAAGTCAACTGCCCGATGTGGGAAGGAGTGAGGCTTCAGATGATTCTAGCCTCCAGCCTTCAAGTCACCCCCAGCCTTTGAGCTATCCCAGCTAAAGCTACATGTAGCGAGAGAAGAGCTCTCCACGCAAAGCCATGCTCAAGAATCACGAACAGAATACTTGTCATTGTTGTTTCAATAATAACCATTGTTCCGGAAATTTTGGTATAAAACCATGGATAACCAGAACATAGGCATCACTATCTATAGTTTTACAAAGGAGACAATAGCACACTCTTGGTTAACCCAATATCATATAGCTAGACTATCTCAGAACCAAGGTGAAAATCCAGGTCATTTACTCTCAACTCTAGTGCTCTTTCCTCTATACCACAAATGGTCAATGAATAAAGCATCTTTTTCTGCGATCAATAACTGACAAAATTGTGAGTTATTCATCATATTAACATATTTATTCATTTTTATTGACTCACTGAAGTTTACTAATACTGTAAACGTTAGATAATACACTGGCTATTGTAACCATATACATTAATAATTCAGATATAACTAAGGTGAATCTACCAGAGATGATGAGAACAAGGTTACAATAAAAGAATGATAAAAACTAACACATTATAAATTACTCTTCAAAATTAAAAAAAATGAATATATGTCAAACTCATTTCTTAAATATTGGTACTTAATGACTAATTATGGGCAAAATACATTATCAAATGGCCAGTTTACTAGAGGCAAGAATTTTAAGAAGTTTGAAAATCAGACTTGGTTGAGGGAGACAATGATGAGCACTCACTCTCTTTCCTTCCATAAGATTTTTTGGAACTCATCCAAATGCACCTGCAAAGCTGCCATTTCAGGTGCTTCATTCTCCAAAGGCAGATGCATTGCTTGCAGTCTTAATCCAGGTGTCACAGCACAGTTTTCAGAACCACCGTTCTTGAATAAATCAGAACAATCTAGATTCAGTTTCATCTCCTCATTTAATCTTGATGGGTCAATAATCAAACCTTCTTCCTGAAAGGAAAAAATAGAAAACAAATCTTATTGGTGAACATTTAAATCTAGTGTAGAAAAATCATGAAGAAACATATTTTTGGAAGGAAATAAATGTTATGATTCAGCATCAAAGTCATATTTTCATGTCTTTATCATTCTCTCATTGTGTTACAAGGCCAAACTGTAACTTGCATTCTTCAAACTTTTTTTTTCTATATTCTATCTTATTATAATAAAATACATTTCTCTGAAGTCTTTTAAAATTTTTCATTTACAGTGGAATCTAAGTTATATCTACCATAAGTCCCACACATCATGGAAAGGCTTAAAATTTTAAATGGAATTGTAGAAGAGAAAGATATGAACTGATTTTGCTTTTAGAGATGGAATTAAATAGAAAGGGGTAACAATATAAACTGATACTATTTAAAGAGATAATATGGGGGCTGCGCCGGTGGCATAGTGGTTAAGTTCGCGTGCTCCACTTCGGCAGTCTGGGGTTTCAGGTTCAGATCCCTGGCGTGGACCAACGCACCGCTTGTCAGGCCATGCTGTGGCAGCGTCCCATATAACACAGAGGAAGATGGGCACAGATGTTAGCCCAGGGCCAATCTTCCCTGGCAAAAAGAGGAGGATTAGCATCGGATGTTAGCTCAGGGTTGATCTTCCTCACAAAATAAATAAATAAATAAATACAGCTAAAAAAAAAAATAAAGAGATAATATGAATCCCCAAAGTTTCCCAAAGTATGTTCCACGGGTTAACCGTTAATAGTATTTACAAGGTTTAAAAAATAGAAATGGGGGTGGTGGTGTTCATGGATAAATAAGTGTTATGAACTGCTAGATTAAATAAAGTTTTTAAAAGTTTATTTTGTGCAGAATTCTCAGAAACTTCAAGATTGCAAGTATACCAAGAAATTCCAAAACTGGGTAGTATGAAGCAATCCCTAAAAGTATTTGCCTATGGTACCTATTTTACAAGAATTAATTGTGAGGCCAGAGTCTCAAACCTTGAGAAATGTTTATACTACTATATGGATAATGTACTATTATTGGTAGAATTAGGGTAAATGGGGAGAAATATCTCCAAATATTTTTTCACATAAAAAAAATGCTAGGTTAATTTTTGCTAAAAATCTTAGTGATATCAGCAATATGGGCTGAATTGTGTCCCCCCAAAAAGCTCATTTGTTGAAGTGCTAACCCTCCTCCAGTACCTCAGAATGTAACTACATTTGGGGATTGGGTCTTTAAAGAGGTAATTAAGTTAAAACAAGGTGATTAGGGTAGGCTTACTGATGGTATCTTTATAAGAAGACGAATCTTCAACACAGGTACATACAGAGCAAAGACTAAGTGGAGACACAGAGAGAAGATGGCCATCTATAAGCCAAGGAGAGAGGCCTCAGAAGAAACCAACTCTACTGACACCTTAATCGCAGACTTCTAGCCTCCAGAACTGTGAAAAAACAAATTTCTGTTGCTGCAGCCACACAGTCTGTGGTACTTAGTTATGGCATCCTAAGCACACAAATATAGTCTCCATTGGGTGTGTCATTTTCCTCTTCCTCCTCGTCACTATATAAAGCATTCAAATATGCACATAATCTCTGGATTCCACTGTGGGTTTTTTCCTCACCTTACTAGTTGTGTTCTCCTTTGTAGGAAATTCTCTTCTTAACAAACACTCTCTGATAGACTCACACGTTTTGGAACCCATTTGAAATTGGTCTCTTTGTGCACAGGACACTTCTATGAAACTAGGACGCTTCAGGTCTTGGCTAACTCTAGCCTCTAACACCTCCTTTTGATGTGGCAAACTTTGTTTCTTTTTCAGTGCACTCAATTCCTTCATTGTCATCTCTAATTTTATTCTGAGTTGTCTTCCTTCCTCCCTGGCACTGTTCCTTTCTGCGCGAACTTTACTCCACTTCTCTCTCCAGTTGGCAGTGCAATCTGACCACCACCGCATGGTCTTCTCCATCTGAGCAGCTCTGGCCTTGACTTCTTCAAGTTCTCGCAGGCGAAGTTCTTCACAAATATCCCATTCGTTGGTGTTGCGTGAGTGAGCACAGCAGTCGTGAGCTGCATGGGATTGTAGCCCATAAAGTGGCACACAGGAGTTACAGGTATCTCTGTGGGAGGAGGCAGGTGCTATCACGTCACAAGTTGGTTTAACTGATGACTGCTGCATCTGGAAGATTTGAGTTTCCTCAATTAGCCGATGAATAGAATCTAAATTCATATGTATGTTTTCAGGCCTAAGAAAAGACAGAAAAAAAAATCAAATAATTAATGTTTGAATTTCTTTGCAATGAGAAGAACAAGACCTACATTTAAAAAAGAAAGTTGATGAAAACAATACATCTTTTCAATATTGCATATTTTCCTTTCCACTGTAACTAAAAATATAGAGGAATTTATACATTTGTAATTATCCTCAAAGAAACAGAAATTTCTTATATTAAATTTTGCCAAATAAAAATAAAATTATAAAGATGCAATTGAGGATAGAATGCAACATGAATAATTCATTTTAAGAAATCCAATGTTTTTCAGGTAATATTTATTGTAACACATATTGCCCATTAGCTACTCAATGGTCCCTTTTCCCCTGCTAATTAAAGCACAGTTTGTTCAGGTGGAATGCAGAATCTATTCATCTCTGGGAGGAAAAGCCCCCATCCCAATCCCAGGGCTCAATCATGATTGATCTCAGTCTTCCGAGATGACCTCCATTTCACTGATCATCCACTAGTCTCAAGGCAGCATAGGAGCTGGTTCTGGCTGATGAGATGTGAGGGGTGGTCTGCCAGAGAAATTTCTCATCTAGAAAAATATGAAAACATCAGAACGAAAAACTCTTTTTCCTCTGCTTTCTTCCTGCCTGAACAAAGATGAAGGCAAGTATAACAGCCACCCTGTAACATTTAAAATGGTGGAACAGAAAGATGAAAGGAGCTTGATTTAAGGATTGAGCTGCCGCATGAAACCTAGAAGGCATGCCTCTGCCTTCCCTGCTGTGCGAGAATGATGACCTATATTTATTTAAGCTCTGATTGGTGAGTTTTCTGTTACTTGCAGTCAAAATGACATTTAATTGATACATGAATTAATTTCCTACTATGGTTAATATTATGATACGTTCTAAAAATAAAATATTATGAATAAGACATGGTATGTGTCCTTAAAGATTTTATAGTCCAGTGTATGACATAAACACATATAATTTAAAAATACCTAATTCACACTGTAAAAATTATATTTATGTATGCAATCAATCTTTTCTTAGTACACATTACTTGTCAAATCAGTGTTAGCTTCCTAGGTTGTGTACAAGGTGCTCTAAGGAGCTAAAGAAGTGATCAGCTGTCTCCTAGAAATGAAAAGGCTTCACAGCCTAGATAACACTGAACACTGTCTTAGCAATTTCAACTGTTTATAAAGGAATTAAAAATTTCCATATAAATAGCAAAGATAAATTAACTGGTAAATGCAAAGCTTTCTTATCGGTATGTATATCCATTACTTTATTCATTATAGCAACATAGCTATATTAAGGATATAACAAGTAGAACCTTTTCTTTAAAATAAATGCTTAAAACATGCAGGTTAATCTACAAATTAATAAAGTTCCGTGGTTGTATAAGATTACCCATTTTTATTATCAAATAAGATATTCTGGTATAAATGATCTTCGGTAACATTTTATATACATGACATTAATTCCTCTCATTTTTTTCATTTGCTTTTATATAGTTACAGATCATAAACTGTCTCCTTATGAGCCATCCATTTAATCAACTGAAGGGGTTTCATTATACCAATAACTTACAAAATAAGTCTCTAGTCACTGAAAAAAATGACTACACAATACTAAATGTACATCACTTTCAGTTGTAGAAAAAACACATTTTAATAAGTGCTCTGTAGAGGTGCCAAACCAACTCACTCCTTATTATAACACTTATTATTATAATACAGATTCATGGTTGTAATTATTTTTGTTAGCGTTGGTATATGTCCAATCATATTTGAATTAGTGCTGATTTGGAGTAAGTATTCCCTTCATTTACTGTAATTCAGAGGGCAATGATAATATAACTGACCAAATTTCTTGGACTATCAGTAAACCAAGACCATTAAAAAAGAACAAAAGCGGGACTGGCCTGGTGGCGTAGCGGTTAAGTGCGCACGCTCTGCTTTGGTGGCCCAGGGTTCGCAGGCACGGATCCCAGGCGCACACCCATGCACCGCTTGTCAAGCCATGCTGTGGCGGAGTCCCGTATAAAGCAGAGGAAGATGGGCACGGATATTAGCCCAGAGCCAATCTTCCTTGGCAAAAAGAGGAGGGTTGGAATCGGATCAGCTCAGGGCTGATCTTCCTCAGTCACACACACACAAAAAAGAACAAAAGGAACTCTTAATTAGAAGCACACCAAAAATTTTATCTATATATTCATATATATATATCTTCATTTTTCACTACTTAATGGTATTTCTTTTGGTTGCATTTCCAAATTGAAGATAGAAAATTTATTTCAGTATATTAAGCTTAAATCTATTCTTGCCATTTTTCAAAATAAATCAATATCATTAAATTGTAATGTCTTTAAAAATGTCTCATTAACTTTTATTTCACTAGTGTTTTGAAGACTCTATAATTGGATTCTGGTACACTGAGATCTTGCCTACCAATTAACTATGTATTTTTTCACATTGGACTAAACAATATTGAGCTGGGTTTAATCATTCAGTCCTTGAACTTCAATAGCATTTCATTTTCTAAAGTGTTTCTCAAACAAGTGTAAATGAGCATATTTACTCCTCGTGTGTATTTATTAAAGCATTCATTTTCCCTACACATATGTGGGTACTCTTCATGTTTTATTTCAGGTGATTGTGAAAGTATTTGTCAATGGCTGTAGCACAAAGCCTTTGATGTATGGGAAAATATTTTAATGCTATTGACTCTTTGGTTTCTTATATTGATTTTTGCATTGTGCCTACCACAAAAGGGGGGTCACAAGAAAACTCTTGGAGGTGATGAATATGTTTATTACCTTGATTATGGTGATGGTTTCATGGGTGCATGCGTATATTTAAATTCATCAGCTGTATACATTAAATATGTGCAGTGTTTTATATCAATTACACTTCAATAAAGCTGTTTTAAAAAGTTCATACAATCAGGCTACCATGATTACTACAAGTAGTTTTGAATGTAGTACATAACCAAATAAATAAAATTTGATGGGTCTAGTGTATAGATAACATTACTAAACCTGTTATTTCTTGCTAAAGAGGAGCTTAATGTGTAAGACATTGGGCTCCAGACTCTATTGGTTCAAGTTCTGACTCTGCCACTTTCTAGATAGATGACCTTGGACAAATTACATAAACTGCCTTTGACTCATATCCTTGTTTGTAAAACGATGCCAAAATATCACGTATCTCACTGAGTTCTTGTGACCTTTAAATGGGAAAATGCCAGCTCATCGGCTGGCCCAGGCTGTCTCTTAGGCAAGGTGACAGTTTTTCTCAGTGGTATACAAGTTACTAATATGTCACTTTGGACTACTGTACTATTTATTTTTTTGAGTTTCCTTTCTCTCTTTCAAAGAAAAAATGGTATACTTAAAAAACAGGGAGAGCGACATATAAATGAGATTTACAAAAAAGTTCTAAATTTCATGAAATAAAGGTATAATATCAATTTCTACATCATATTAATATTATTCAGTGATATATTCAGTACTATTATCGTCTCCATCCTAGAGATGAAGAAACTAGGGCTTAGGGTTCTAATGTAACCGGCCCAAGTCATACACTTAGAAGGAGTCAACCCAGTTTGGGAATTAAAGAAATTTGAATACAGAGCCACCGCCTCTTTGTATCAAAAATCTACTTCAAAATTTCTAGCTTCAAAATATCTATTTTCACTGTAGTAAGATCACCTTTTGAATTATTTCAGAAATATATTTGGCAGACTTCCATTTCGAATAATTTTATGCTCAAATATCTCCCATTAAATCGCACCACAATTAGTCGATTAATCCTGATGTTGAGCTTTGAGTGAATTCAATCTCCTCATCAGAGCTTAAGGGAACGGTATGCAAAGTCTGGGGTTTGTCCACCCCTCCAGCCTCCTCTTCGTCATTCTGCTTCCACGTTCCATGCTTCCGCCACCCAGGTGTGTCCATTCCTTGCACAAACCTCACCTCAGTGGTCTCCTTCGTGCAATCTGATTGCTATGCAGGAGCACTCTCCCCTCTCTCCATACACCCTCCTCCCCCTAGCTTCCCATTCTTCAGGTAGCAGCTAGTGGGACCTATGCTTGACCGTCCTCCATTCCTTAGAGGCCTACAGCTGAGCAGAAAATCTGCCTTTGGCCTCCTCTGTGATAGTGAACAAAACAGACATGGCTTCTGCCATCCTGGAACCTTGTTGATAACAAAAGCAATAAATCAAACTAACAATCACAAATGTTAACTGTCTTTGAAAGAAATAGTGTACATACCTACATACTTAGAGAAGTCTCTCTGAAGTGACATCATATGTATTATCTGAAGAATGAGGTGAACCAAAAATAAAAGCATTTTTGGCAGAAGTTAAACTATCAGGGCAGACTAAAACAGGGTCCAAAGGGATTTTTGTTTTATTGTTTATACTTATTGCTTTCCATTAACCTATAGGAAATGAATTCTAAATGAAACCCTGCTTGGATCTTTTTTCCCTAAGAAGCACAGGCTCTCTAATGCACCCATAATGATGTAATAAAATCCATAAGCAAAGAGAAAATACATTCATACAGATTCAGAACATAATGTTAAGGAACGGTTGTTGCTATAGATATGACGCCATATACCCTGATAAAAAGAGAAAAAATAAAGATCAGTTTTCAATATTGAGGAAAGTACCCATCATACTGTATTTTAAAATGTGGCTTGTCAAACATGCACACATGATTAGTATAAAAACTTACGCATTTTGTATGGGTCTAAAGTAGAAAAAAATAATGTCTTTTTAGGAATGTTTTGCAAGAGAATACTAAATATTAAAAATGAAAACTGCAGTTGTGACAGGGAGGTAAGTGAAGAAATGACAGTGAGTGGCCACATGACATCACTTTGATATAGTTCAAGTTTTGCCTACGGTTAAATGTTATATTTTAAAAATACACACACTGTGACAAATTATATGGATAGTTACAGTCTATGTTTGTTGATGTGAATGTGACATTTTGGAACAATACA